TTCAAGACCCGTATGTCTATTTATAAGTCCCAAAAACTGCATTTGTCGTTTTCTGATTGTTTTTAACATTGACCAACCCACGTGGGCTTCATCAGGCACTACCTCATTTGATTTCTTTTCCTTCCACTATACTCTTAGCAGTCTCCTAAGAAAACACATTTCTATTGCTCCTGTTATATTTTCACTGTCTTTAGTGATTGTCCAGCATTCACAGCCATATAGAAAGGTTGACCAAACATAGCATTTCAGAACTTTCATTTTAGGGTTCATTGAGATGTTTCTATTTTTCGGGATTGGGCTCATTGTATTGAAACTAGCCTTAGCCATTGTAATTCTCCGTCTTATTTCTGTGGAACATTTGGCATCAGATGTTATCATATATCCTAAATATTAAACTGTTGGACTAGTTTGATCGTTTAACCTTTGCTAATTAGATTACAACTAGACTTTGCTGCTTTTTGGGATATTACCATGCATTCTGTTTTCTTTACATTAATAATAATCCTTTACGTTCACTTTCTGTTACAATAGTTTCTAGACTAGAAGCAATCGAAGGTTTTTTTCTGAGCCTGCTATCAAAACTGTGTCATCTGCATACCTGATGTTAGTAATCTTTTCTCCATTTACTTTGAGACGTGGACATTCTTCTATGTTTTTAAGGATTGTTTCACTGTACATGTTCAAGAGGTCTGGTGAAATAACACATTCTTGCCTCATTCCTCACATGATCTGCTTATATTCACTGTATTCTTCATTAATTCGCACAGCAGCGTTTTGGCCCCAATACAAATTCCTGATAATTCTTAGATCTTTTCCATCTATATCTAGCTTTTCCAGTATTCTAAATAGCTCATCATGTCTAACTTTATCGAACGCCTTTGAATAATCAATGAAGCATAAATACAGATCTTTTTGAGCTTCAATACATCTTTCCATTAACATTGTTAAGGTGAATATAGCATTTCTGGTGCCCTTATCAGGAACAAAGCCGAATTGCGTTTTAGATATCTCTTGTCTTACACTTTGTCTCAATTTTCCCATTATTACTCGCAGCAATATTTTTGTAAAATGACTCAATAGGCTAACTGTTCTATGCTTATCACACTCAGTGGCACCTGGTGTTTTAGGTAAAGCTACAAAAACTGACTTCATCATATCTTCTGGTAACTCACCGCTGTCATAAATAGCATTTAGGAGCTTCGTCGTTATTTCAGTGCCTAGT